TCACCAGTGGCAAGACTCCCAGGGCACAAAGAGAGCTGAAAACCCTAAAAGCCATTATGAGATGGGCTCAAATAAAGAGAAGGCGGTGCTGGCGATGACACTGACAACCCAGCACCACTTCCAGGACTCTGCTCTGAACAGTGTCCACACCCCTTTCCCTCCACAAACTGGGCCACGGACCTCCAGCTGTCTGTTCAAAGCTCTCAGCAAAGCCTGGACCGCTTCAACAAAGTGTTCTTTGAATTAAATATGGGACTGACCAAAGTACTCTGGGGAATTTAACAGGTGTCCACAATAAAGGATTTGCTTAGTTTTTGAAATTCCACTTTCTGTGAAGACCTGAAAGTTGATGAAAACATGAGCCTTCAACTGCCTTCAAACCTCCTTGACATCTGTAACCAGTGTCTGTCTACAAAAGCTCTGCTCCAAGGTTTCCTAAGGTCTCCTAAAGTCACAGCCAAGTTTGTCTTCCCAATTAAACCAGCTATTAAAGACAAACTTATAAAGAGAAGACAGTCAACATTTAATTGGAAAGCAAATCACCTAACTGTAAGTGGTAGACACATTTCCCAATTAAAGATCTGACAGGAACTCACAAAAACAAAACAGCATCTCCCAAATGTCATCCTGCTTATTTCCTGTTTAGAAAGGTTTCCTGCTCCAACTCACACCACACACAAGGTTGGGGGCTGCTGCTGGGTATTCAATAATAAGTAGGAAAACGCTGTGTGTGCATGGGCATAAAACTGTCCAAACGGTACATCAGCAGGGAAGCAGAACTCTGTCCACCCAATTTAGTTCCATTTTAAGGGCCAGTGGCAAGACTTAAAACCAAAACCTGCAGTTAGCAGCAGCCCCGACGGACCCAATCCCAAGTACTGTGTCTCATCAAAGCCCCAGCTCACAACCTGAGGAGCTCTTCTGCAAAGTACACCCTTTGAAACATCTGTCTTGAAATATTTTTAGTACTTTTTAAACAGCTAAGAATTTCATTTATGGCCTGGCCGGGCATGGCTCAGCGGTTGAGCATTGACCTAGGATCCAGGAGATGGTGGTTTGATACCCGGTCAGGGCACATGCCTGGATTTCGGGCTCGACCCCTGGTTGGGGATGTGCAGGAGGCAGCCGATCAATGACGACTCTCTCATCACTGATGTTTTATCTTTCTCTCCCCCTCCCTCTCCCTTCCTTTCTCTGAAATCAATAAAGACATATATATTTTTTTTAATTTCATTTATAAGCCCAGCTGGGCATGGCTCAGCGGTTGAGTCGATCCCAGGCGATTGGGGTTCGATTCCCGGCCAGGGCACATGCCCGGGTTGCGGGCTCCATCAATGACTCTCATTGTTGGTGTTTCTGTCTCTTTCCCTCTCCTTTCCTCTCTCTGAAATCAATAAAGATATATTTAAAAAAAAAAAATTCATTTATGAGTCTCAAGGTACTTTAAAAATTACCCATCTGCCAAATGTAATACTTTCATTACAATTACACTATACCTCATCTTTACCCTCATGGACTGCCTACCATACTAGGAAAAGACAGTCACTATTTTAACTATTTGATACATGGTTCGAAACAGTGATAAGATTTGAAAATCCTATGTCTGCACCTACTCTGTCCTTAGGTCAAACCCTTCTTCACCTGTACTTTTTTATCCAGTGTTAAAACATCACTGTAACAATAAATGCTCCTCTAACTAATAGGAGTAGCATTAAAAAACATAAAAACTTACGTCGATACAGAATGCAGTCTAGAAATGACATTTTTTACATATCTGAACAAGAGAATTGAGGGAGAATTTTTAACATTCACTATTCAAAAAAGAAAAACAATTGTTCAGTAATATAAAAAGATAAATAAAGCTAAACTAAGGACAGTGGGCTCTTTCACTAACAAGTAATTTACTGTGACAAAATGATAGGTCCAAGGAAACATGAAACATGAAAGAGAACTAGTACATACAGTTCCATGTGTCCTTTAGATGTAGCTCAGATTTTATAAACATTAGTCTAAAATGGGTTTTTCTTTTTGAGGCTTGTTGCCAAAGCAACCAGGAAAGCTACAGTCTTTGGGAGAGAGTTTGAAAAGAGGTTAAAGATAAGAGGAAGTAATGAAAACTTTATACCAGGAATTAAAAATCATGAATACAATGTTGCAAGAAGGGTAACAGAGAGAATACAAATTGAACAGATAGACAGAGCAACAGCTAGAGTGACAGAACAATTACTAACAAGAAATAAACATACCCATTATTTTATTTTTCCCAGTTTTATTGAGATATGACATTTAACATTGTATTCATTTAAGGTATACAACATGATTTATGTGTATGTTGTGAAATGATTACCACAGTAAATTTAGTTAACATCTATCACCTCACAGTTATGTTTTCTTGTGATGAGAAATTTTAATATCTACTCTCTTAGCAACTACGTTCCCCATTCTGTTCCCTGAAGTACTCTCCCCCAACCCAAACACCAAAGTAATACTACCATCCTCCTCTCATTTACTGCCAATGCGTATGAAATTTAAACCACTGGCTATGTTCAAAAGTGCATCAGGTATAAAATAACAGGAAAGAGAGTTAGCAACACCCTCACTCCAACCCCAAAATTTCCCTGTGACTCAAAGAAATTCCGATATATAAAATCAACATTTGACACTGTAACAACATCAGTCTTAAAAAGGCCATATGTAAACATAACCCCTCCCTATCTTACCCAGAATGCTAGGTGTGTGCACAATATTTATATAATGCTGGTAACAGTTATAACAAAATAGAAGTATTGTTCAAATGGTCTGCCGTGGTCAAAGATAAGGAAGAAAAATGAAAATAATATGCAACAGAAGTCAGAGTAAAAAATACCTGGGACTAAATCATGGTGATAATGTGAAGATAATGCGTATGGGCACAAGAAATGGATGGATAACCACAAAATTACACTCCACACCACCTAGCATTAGGAATTTCCCCTGGAAAACACAAAGGCAACCAAAAGCAATGTATGTTTTTGAGTATCAGTAAAAAAAGCTTTAGCTTGTTTTTTATGCTTTTTTCAAATACAGGACATTTAGGGCAAATTGAACTTCATTTAAGAAAACTGATATACAGCATAAAAGAAATGGGTTAAACCTACAGAATCATAAGTACACGAGCGAGACGGATCATTTCTATATAGCTGCTAAGTTTCCTAACTGTCCACTCTACATCCACTCGGAGTCATCACTCCTCCTGGATTCCCACCATATTCCATCTGCCTCTTCTAGTCTCATGTCATAGTTTTCACTTGGGTATTTTATCCCTCAAATATAGTCTACTGTAGCATGACGTTACCAGTATAGTCTACTGTAACATCATATCAAATTAGTCTTTGCAAAACTCTGGGCACTCATTCATTCAATAAATATTTCCTAAGTACCTGTAAGTGCCAGTCAACATACTACAGACAGGCAATAAGCCTGTGCTGTTTAAATGAATGCCGGCTGCAAGGCAGGAAAAAATATATACAAGTTCAAAAAAAGACTCCAAATAAATCATGCATTCCATTTGCAGAGGGGATCAGGATGGGAAGCTACAAAGATTCTAATATCGTGAAACATCTACACTACCTGTGTATTGCCACAGCGAGAAAATGTGTCTGCAACAGAGCAGCATTTCCTCTGCAGGGCCTACCAAGTATATTAAGTATTTGCACACAGAGAACTGTCATCTGAACCCTTTGAAAATTTTTGCAGTAATGATTTAATATGTCGTAATCTTAAACTAGAGGTCCCTATAGGACACCCATGAGATGGGTCTTTCCAAGTCCAGGAATGGCAGGCTGTTCCCCCAGTTCGCCCTGTCCATTCATTCAAGAGCTTGTTCACTACCAGGCACAGCTGGGCCTGGTTTTTAAAAGGTCAGGACATTCCAAGAGCCCTCCGGGAACTCAACCAAAAGTTTGGCACAGGTCCGGGGCGGGGAAAGGAGGGGCATTCACGTTTTATTTTATGGAAACATACCCGAGTTGAAATTCAAATGTAAAAACGTGTTCTGTTTTATTCTGGTTGTTGTCACTCCCTCCCTCTATCATTCTTAATGGTACTTGAAAGCGTTCCCCCAATCCTCAATGTATTTCACTTACAAAAAAAAAAAAAAAANTCTGTGTTTCCTTTAAAACTTTATTATGTAGTTTAAAAGCTTAAAAAAAAAAAAAAAAAAAAAAAGCCAATAGAAGGAAGCCTGCACTTCCACTCCCACCACATATATTCTGGGAAAATAATGTGTACAGAGGAGAACTTGAAATTTGTTTCTTGTCTTTCCTTCTTAAGGAATAGCCCGGGATAGGACGGCCGAATAAAACTCACAAAGCGGCCGTGTGCCTTCCACCCCACGGCGCTTCCACGGGCCCGCCGCGGGCTCGCGCACGTGAGGCTGGGGCCGGCCCCGGCGGCCGGAGGTACCCGAAGGCGGCGCCGCCCCT